CTTTTTGTTGATGTGGTGGATGATGATGATGAATTTTCTAATATTGTTCCATCCTTGCATCCCTGGAATAAATCCTACTTGATCATGATGGATGATCTTTTTGATGTATTTTTGAATTTGGTTTGCTAATGTTTGGTTGAGTATTTTTTGCATCTATGTCCATCAGTGATACTGGTCTGTAATTTTCATTTTTTGTGGTGTCTTCACCTGGTTTTGGTATTAGAGTGATGTTGGCCTTGCAGAATGAGTTTGGGAATATTCCCTCTTCTTCTACTCTTTTGAAAACTTTAAGGAGGATGGGTATTAGGTCTTCACTAAATTTTTGATAAAATTCAGCAGTGAAGCCATCTGGTCCAGGGTTTTGTTCTTAGGAAGTTTTTGATTACCAATTCAATTTTGTTGCTGATAATTGGTCTCTTCAGATTTTCTGTTTCTTCTTTGGTTAGCGTTAGAAAGTTGTATTTTTCTAGAAAGTTGTCCATTTCTTCTAGGTTATCCAGTTTGTTAGCATATAATTTTTTATAGTATTCTCTCATAATTCTTTGTATTTCTCTGGTGTAATAGTGATTCTTCCTTTCTCATTTCTGATTGTGTGTATGTATGTAGACTCTTATTTTCTTTATAAGTCTGGCTAGGTGTTTATCTATTTTGTTTATTTTCTCTATTTAATTTATTTCTGCTCTACTCTTTATTATGTCCCTCCTTCTACTGACTTTGGGTCTCATTTGTACTTCTAGTTTCATTAATTGTAAGTTTAGACTGTTCATATGGGATTGTTCTTCTTTCCTGAGGTAGGCCTGTATTGCAATATACTTCCCTCTTAGCACAGCCTTTGCTGTGTCCTACAGATTTTGCGGTGTTGAATTATTGCTGTCATTTGTCTCCATATATTGTTTTTATTTGGTCATTGATCCACTGATTATTTAGGAGCATGTTATTAAGCCTCCATGTGTTTGTGGGCTTTTTCATTTTCTGTAGTGTAATTTATTTCTAGTTTCATACCTTTCTGAGAAGCTGGTTGGTACAATTTCAATCTTTTTAAATTTACTGAGGCTCTTTTGTGGCCTAGTGTATGATCTGTTCTTGAAAATGTTCCATGTACACTTGAGAAGAATGTGTATCCTGTTGCTTTTGGAAGGAGCGTTCTGCAGATTTTGTTAGGTCTATCTGTTCTAATATGTTGTTCAGTGCCTTTGTGTCTTTACTTATTTTCTGTCTGGTTGATCTGTCCTTTGCAGTGAGTGGTGTGTTGAAGTCTCCTAAAATGAATGTATCACATTCTATTACCCCCTTTAATTCGGTTAGTATTTGTTTCACATATGTAGGTGATGCTGTGTTGCATGCATAGATATTTATAATAGTTACAGCCTACTGGATTGACCCCTTTATCATTATGTAATGTCCTTCTTTGTCTCTAGTTACTTTGTTTTGAAGTCTGTTTTGTCTGATACAAGTCCTGCAACTCCTGCTTTTTCCTCTATATTAGTTGCATGAAATCTTTTTCCATCCCTTTACTTTCAGTCTGTGTATGT